ATCCCATTTAACCCATTGATCACCTCCACTAGTGCAACATCTTATGACTCATTCTCGAGATTATCATCGGCCGATTGTGGTCCTTCGTACCACGAATGCCTACCAACCAAGGTCCTTTTGATCTATTTGCATTGAAAAATAAGTGTTCTCCAAACTTCCGTCGTGATATGATTCATCTGACCTCCAATTACCTGACTACGGTTTGCTCGTGTTAAGTATTTACTCAACTACAAATCTCTTCTGACCTTAGTCTCTCACCGACCTTAATAGTCTCTCAACCTTCTATTGCCCGACTGTGTCCGTCTGACATCAGTGCCTTGCGACTATATGTGTACCTCAACTACGGTCCCGTCTAAGCCACCGTCGCTAAAGCTATGGTCCCTCCGACCTCTAATCGTTCGAACGCTATTGCATTTTCAACGTACAAATCTCTTAACTACGATCCTTCTTAGCCCTCTCGTCGCACTACTTTGGCGTAACCGACTAACACGAACAACGCTAACGTTCATTTTTAGGAAAGAACTCTCATATCATGGGAATTATTCTTATCCAACTCCAACATAGCCAATTAATTATGCTATACATGATAGTATTATATATTAACTTGTGGTGCCAACGCGCTTTTCTTCGAGGAAGGTTTGTAATCCCAACAATTAATAATAGTGGCACAAAGGCCCATGATTTTATCCCTTTTCCATAATTTTCCACCGTAAAAAAAAATTCGACATCTCTTATGACGTTTGTATCTCTCTTTCTGGTATATGCTGGATTCTTCAATGCTAAGCTTAAGACGTCAAACATCCATCTCTCGCATATCCCACGAATATCCGGCTACGCTAACAATCCTAAATACATTTGTATTGAACATGAGAAAACTTAATTATAACTACTTCATAACAAATAACATTAGCAGGAGAGCTTTAAAATAACATCTAAATAATCATTAGGTGTAAATATCACATAGAAATATAGAATGCTGAATTAATATGGCGAATTAAACATTAATTCGACGCAGAAAATAAAATTTAAATTAGGCAATGAACATTTTCATTCACAAAATCAACACAAGATCTGCTTATTACAAAACTCAGAAAGAGGATCCACGGATCAACTTCCATTTATTAACAAAACCCTACATACCCACACACCGACGACGCGACCTAATAAGCAGCACTGGTCTCCTTCCTCCCCCACCTTGCCAACATCGAAATCTCCCCGCATTCCTCGCGAACAGTGCTCCTAATCTCCCTTTCCCACCCGTCAGCACGCCCAGCTGCCCCATCTTCCCATCGAAAACCCAAATCTTTCAAAGAAAAACGACTGATTCCAGCGGCAAAATCGATGCCACCACCTCTGCTTCGTCCTGGAATCCATAATACAAATTCCTGCGTCGGAGTAAAAAAGCCCCTGCTGTTCATAGATCCACGTACAGTACTTGTTGTCGAAGACGTTGGGCTGCGGATGTCGAGCACAGGTGGTGTTGTTGGGTGGGTTAGGAAGAAGGGCAAGTGAGGCGGAGGTTTTTGAAGAAGGTTTGGGTCCATGGTGGGATCCACGGAGGAGGAAGATGCGGTTGTGAGAGGAGGCGCAGTGGCCGCGGCCCCGATCGTGTGGCCGCCGTGATGAGGGCGACGAGGGGTGCGGTAAGCGATCGAGATTATGCGGAGCAGAGGATGGGTGAGGATGACGAGCCGTTGAGGTCGGGGCGGGGAGTGCTGGCGAGCTGTGAAGTTGCGTGTGTGCGACTTCAGACCGTCGCGGCGGGCCGAGTGGGACTGTGTAGTTCGGACCGTTAACCGCCCTGTCGTGTGTGCAGCAGATGCTTTAGGAGCATTTTATGCAGGCAAGTTGGATTTTTTTGTTTTTTCAATATTTGTATTACTAACAAATATTAATTAATTACATCGCGTAAAGATTTTTTGAACACCCAATAATATATTTATTTTTTAATTTTAAATTAAAAAGTTGACAAAATTTAACTAATGTTGTAAATCATTGTACAATAATATTTATTTACATTAATTCATAAAATTTGAATGCCAGAAATAGGCCCTACTCTCCTTGTTGTACCTATTTTCTATACACATTTTCATATGTGGATTTTGTTTGGTAATTAATTTTTTATTTACTTTTTTAAAATAAAAATTTAAATTCAAAAATTAAAATTTGTATACTAAAAAATTTATTTTAAAGAAACGGTTAGAGAAGTCGCGTCCAAAACTGATGGCTTAGACTTCAATTGGAGAATAACTTTATTATGAGCGTTTAAAGCAATTATTACTAGCAAAATTTTGTATTTCTTTAAAACTATTTAACAAACTAGTAAAAAAGTGTCATTCCCTAACTAGCCCAAGCTAAACCACTAATTTAGAGTAAGGGGTGTCCAATTCAGATCAGCGATCAGGCAGTTCGGTCGAATCGGAACTGACCCAGCACTGTTCTGGGATGTAAACCCAACTCGACCCGTTTTTTAAAAACGGGTGCGTAGATTTTCAACCCGAACCCGACCCGGACAACCCGACCCGCACCCGCTTTTTAATTTTGAGATATATTTGCAATCAAAATTAATTATATAAGCCTTTTTTAAGAATGCTTTGGCTGAAAAAAAATAATAGAGGAAAAATATCATGTCATGGCCTTATTTTATAAATAAGCCCTCTTATTTATTGAAATTTGTAACAAACAATATTTAATTATTTTCATTTTCTTTTTAAAAGAACGTCTTTTAATAGAAGAAATATGCACTATAATAAAATATGTTAAAAGGAGTGACGAGCATATGAACAATTAAATAAGTTGTTAGCTTCGATAACGATACTCAACCACTCCTCTATTCTAAAAGTTAATCAGTCTCAATAATCAGACTTTTCAAACCACAGAATCAAACAGCGTAGAAAACTTCAAACGCCGACCCACCCGTTCCCACAATGCTCACGAACAATTATATATATCTATTAATATGAATTATGTATGATGTATTTGTGAAAAATTTAAATAAAGATAAACTCTTAAACGTCGGGACACCTTTTGACATAAATTTTCAAATTTTATTATAAACTTTAGGGGCTGTTTGGTAGCACGATTCAGGCCGGATTTGAGTGAAATCCAGCCAAACTGCCTAAAATGCAAAACGAAATCTCACGGCAAATGAAAGCCACCGTAGATAAAAAATTTCGCCTTTTATTGCTAAATCCTGGATTCTCAAAATACTGTTTGTTGCCGGATTTACGAAATTCATTGGCTCCAAAGGCAGAGTGTGTTCGTTAAATTCGCTCTATAGTCAAACAGTCACACGAGATTTAATAGGATTTATCATGAATGTTACCAAAAAGTTTTAAGGATTTGGACCCTGAGGATTTTTTAAATTCGAATTTACAAATTTATGAAATTATACTTTAATCAAATCCTGGGTGCTACCAAACATCCCCTTAAAGTTAAGAGTGCTCATAGAAACACTTCTAGATAACTAACATCAATATGACAAAACAGTAAATTATTACATAAAAACGGACAATAGCTCAATAGTTAAGAATTTTGACTGCTACATTATTATTGTTTATAAATATATATACATTTATTTCAAAATAAATAAATAAAAAATTGAATTTATCATAAGTAAATTCAGATTTTTTTTTGCTATATGCTATAGGAGATATAGAGCAATAGAAATAGGGTGTTATTGTGATCAAAATTTTATAAATCATATTTATAAACAATCTTATAAATATTATCTCACTTCATAATATCGCTACTCTATATAGATCTTAAATAAAATAATCCAGCAATATCAAGATAGTAAGATTTTGATAATTGGGATAATTTTTTTATTGATTTTTGAAAAGTTATCCTAAATCAAACCTAAATTATAAAATAAATATTTGAAATATTTCAAAATCTACACACAGATAGTTTTTAAAAATTTTGTAATAAGCCCATTTTTTTGGCCTGAAGTGAATCAAATAATTTTTTTTTTAATGGAGATAAAATTAATAATATATTTGAAAGGATGAGATCAATAGCATGTCTACCAAATATATGAATTCTAGGGATATTATCCCTTAGAGATAATATTATTTTTTATTCAAAATATTAAGGTATAAATTTATTTTAGATGAAATTAAAATTCAAAATATTTTTTTAAATTAAATAAATTATATTTAGGTTTAGTTTGGAAGAAATTTTTTATTACTTAATTTTCAGTCTTTAAATACAATTTATATTTGGTCACTATTTTTTCGTTACTTTTAAAAAATTATTCTAAAAAATTACTTTCTATAATAATTTTAAATAGTTACTTTATTTACATTACACAACTCACCTTGGCCTATTTTCTTCCAACTAAGAGATTTTGGGTTCAAGTCTTTGTGTATGTATTTTTGTGTGGAGTTTGTTCTTAAATGACCTAAAATGTCCGATATTTTTTTTTTTATTTACATCATCTTTACAAAACAACAAGAAAAGCTGTCCCAATGAAATCTTCCAAAAAAAAAAGTTATTATCATTCACAAAATAGGAAGTTTAGTTTAGATAAAAAAAAAAATTTCTTCATTTATTCAGACAGAATGAAAATTTTCTGTATATTTTATTGAAATAAGGTAATAGATAACTAAAAATTGATGATAACAAATTGAAATTATATATATATATATATATATATAATATATATATATAATATTATATATATATATATATATATCAAAATTTAATATATTTAGTTAGTATTCAAATTTTTATATTACATAAATCTAACTCTCAAAATTATAAATTATATTTAAAATTCTATTAATATTAATAATAATTTAAAATAAAGTATATCTTTCCAACATATAATTGAATTAGATTAAAATATTATAATAATATATATAAATAAATATAAAAATTTAAAATATTAGATATATAAATTATGGTATGAAAAGTATATGAAATTTATCCCAAAATAAATTTAACTGATATGACATCCATTTTTTTTTTCTTACATTTTTCACCATAAATTGCAGTTAAACGCAATTCATAGATTATGATGCCTTGAAAGCAGAAAAAGCAAAAATTAGCGGTCTAGAGATAGAAAGAGAAATTACCAGGAAAACAGAGTCCCTTGCTGCAAGAGCGACCACGTCGGCGCAGGAGACGACTCGGCCACATTTCCTGTCGATCAGAGCGCGGAGGTCGTTGATGGCCTTGAATGCCTCCGGCCTCAGCGTCAAGTTCGGCGGCGCTTCCTGCTCGCTCGGCCCGCTTGCCGACCCGTCAAGTAGCACCGACGCGTCGCAACCCTACTCATTATTCACTTCACTCGTAAGAAGATTATTTAAACCATATGATCAAACACAAAGAGAAAACCTTTTTCTTATCCTATTTTAGGCAAGATTTAGCTTAGATTCTGTCAAAAAAGAAATTTTTTTATGAATATTATCATTCACATAATTAATTAATCAATTATTTTATTGCGTGATCTCAGCTGTATTAGAGTACAAATCAAGCCAAAAGAGTTATAATAAAATACGATTAAGCCATAGTAGCTCCAACAAAAAACTCAAAAGACGAGCAGATAAAAAAAATACAGAAATAACATAGCAGAAAGTGTCAAAAGACTATCAGCAAGAACAAAAAGAAAGAGGGGAAACAGTGAAACTCTGAGGTTTTTAACAGTTCTGATATAGTAACGAAGACTTTGATACCTGGACGAAGCAGTCATGAAAATGGACGCGTAGAAGAGCAGCAGCGAGGCCGATGTTTTTTTTGAACTCTTTCTTGAGGAAGCCTCTAACGATGGAATCCAGATTAGGGCAGCTTGACTTGTAGAAAGTGAAGGAGAGGCCGTTAACTATGGGAGGGAGGTTCTGCGACAACGCCGGCGGCGGGGAGGAGATGAGGGCGAGAGCAGAGACTAGGAAGCAGAGGAGGATAGAAGCCATGGAGTATAGTGATGAGCTTGAGCTTCTCTGGTTTTGGGTAGCTGGAATAGCAGCATTGGTTACTATTTATAAACTGACCAATGATTTGCCTGTAGATTGGATGGCAAGCATTGTAATTTTTGAAAAAAAATTTATCAGGATTGTCTGATCGATGTCAAATATATCATTACTGAGCTTCAGTATACTTTTTACTCAATTAATATAATTAGTATATTATATATAAATATTAATCTTATTATATATATATATAACAATTATGAAGTTATTATGATATATTTTATATAAGAATATTATGATATAATTTATTTTTATAAATTTTTTTAAGGAAACTGATGTATTTGATTAATTCATTGACCAGATAAAAGTAGACTGAATACTTTAAAGTCCAATTTAGGTTTACGGATTAGAGTTGGGGTATAAATTTTTTTACTTTTTTTCACACTCAAAACATCAACCTTCTAATGACCCGATTAAAAGAATTTATATATTAGATATGACCTATTTTAACAAAGATAGAGGTAAACGTAAAAGAGAAATTTACATACATACCACTTTATTTCATGTTATTTACATATCAAACTAAAAACATTAATATTACATGTCTATCACCCTTATACAACTTTAATATCAAATATATCACTCATATAATTCATTTCTATAATTCATACAATCCTATAAACTTTAATATTTCATTCAATGCACACAAATTCATTCTATTGGTGGTAGTCATGTAATATTAATATTTTCAATGTTAAATATGTAAATAGCATGAAATAAAGTGGTATGTATGTAAATCCCTCAAGTTAAAAAGACTTAGGGTTCGTTTGGGACGGCTTTTTTATTGCCTTCTAAAACGGAGTTTTACTACAAATTTTTTTATTTTTTAACTAAAACTCCGTTTTAGAAAGCAATAAGGCTTCATTTGGGCGGCTATTTCTAAAAATAGCTTTTTTGTTTAAAAATTAAAAATTGTATACTATAAAGCTACTTTAAGAAGTAGCAAGAAAGCCGTCCCAAACAAAGCCTTAGTTAAAAAGTACTTAAAATGATCATTTTTATTAGATTTAAAAGGAAATTTTTAAATCTCAATAGAAGACAATAAAAAAAAAAATTATATAATCGACCTCACATAATAGAATAAAGGATTGAAGTTATTGTTGTTGTGACTTAGGATAAATCATAATTTTTTTTTTCAGGGATATAAGTAAGACATAATTTTTTTTAATTGACGTAATACATATTTAATATTAAAAAAATGATTTCAAAATCTTACTAATAGATTTTAAAATCACAACCTTTTTTATGTCTATCTTTTTATTAAATAACGGTACAATATAGTGTTTTTTTCTGTTGCTTTTCTGCATTGAAAAAAGAGAGAGACAGAGATAAAGTGTGATGGGAGTGGGTTAAGCACGAGACTGAATATATAAAAGCCAAAAAAAGGAGAAACCCATAGCAGCATCGCATTCAAGTCTTTCTTATCGGTGCTATAATAGGCAAAATTTTAGGAAGAAGTACGATTCGTGGCGTTATTAGGGGAAGAAGCGTAATTCGGAATAAATTTTAAAAGAAGCAATTACGCTATAAAGTACGGCGTATTGTAGAATGCGCTGAAATTAAACGCGTATAAAAAGAATGCGCTGATCTGTATAGTGCATTTATGCAATGCGCTGAACATTTAAGCGCATTCTTAAGAATGCGCTTAAATGTTCAGCGCATTCTTAAGACCTGAACTGTTCCAGCTGTTGAATATTATCTGCTTTGGCGTTATCCCCGACCAGATC